AAGAGCTAATATTAATAAGTTATTACCGAAGTTAAGCCTACTCATCATTTCTGAACAACATGTTGTGTTATCTACATACATACAGTGCGGATTAATATTATAATCAATATCTGTAATATTATTTGGATTGAATTTTAGAAGAAAATATAACAGTATCAAAATACTCAAGGACAAATTTTATGAATATTGAAAAATGCATTAAAGATGGTAGATTTAGTGGTATTGTTAAGTAATTATGGAAGTGGACGATGCTTGTAGAAAGTGATTGAAAGTAAGTGTTTGAGTGTATGTTACAAAATACTATTAATATTAGTGTAGTATTAAACAAAATTGAGTGCTTATAATTATGCATTAATGATAGTGGTTTAATCTTCAATATATAGCAGCTGATGAATAGTACTAGTCACTTTTCCTTATCCTTTAGATTATTGATGTCACTTTCCGAATTTATGCCAATCGGTGGAGCACCAGATTCTTTTCTTAAAAACACCTTACCAAAGGACGTCCAACAAAACTTATAGTTGTACAGGACAGCATGTTTTCTAGCTAGGTAAAAGAGATGTTTACTTTTTGGCGTAAGATTTTCGGAAATGAATACTGGTGTCCGTGGACCTTTGATTGATAGTTGATCTGTGTTCAACTTATCATCCTTGTGTTCTCTGTTGAAGTATTTCGAAGCCTTAATAATTTTTTCCTTTACTAACACTGACGTGAATTCGACAATTATCGGCTTGTTTATTGATTTTGAATGGAGTCTGAAAACATCTTTAATATCCGAGTTCTGTATTGGAATTTTAATTAAATTTCCTATAGTTATAATAATATTCGCCAAATCTTGCTTAGTCTCACTCTGATTTTTTGGTATATTTCTAATTTCAATACTCGCAGAACGAATCTGCTTTTCCAACTGTTCAATTTTTTCTTCAAGTATTCGCGTCTGGCTTCTTTCTTCTTTTTTGGTATTCTCAAGTCGAATTAATCTCTCCAATATATCATCATATTTTGCCGCGGTAAACTCTACAGATTCCTGTAATTTTGCATTTTGTTCTTTTATTTGTTCCATCAGCGACTGCAAAGACAAAAAGTATTGTTGCTGTTTCTTTTCAAACTCACCAAACATACATAACATTTCTGATTTAAACGCTAGCATTTCTGATTCTCCTATGTCTTCTCTTCTTCTTTTGCTGCGTTTTGTCACATTAGAAGTAAGCTCTGAGTCAGACAGCGTTGGCACTTTTGTATAATCAGCGTGCGCTGCTAGCAAGGTAGATTTTGAGTCAGATTGAATCGGTGGCGGCGTGCGGTCGACAGGCATATTTAAAATAGTACGAAATGATAGGTTTATAATACAGTCAACCGTAAATAAATTAGAAACTATTTTAGATCTTATTGCAATAGATGTACAGTACTCACTACCCAATAGCTTCAGGGATCTCTCTAATTGGACGTTGATCGAGATTTTCGTACAAATTCACAGATCGTCCAGTCCAAGTTGGCCTCCTCAACAACTTGCATACGATACTGTATTTTCTTTCTTCTTCGTGCACAACATAACACAACGCGTACTCACTAAGCCGAACGCAACGAATATACAATGGTTTCACTTTGTCCTATGACAATAATTAGATAGTTCTGTCTTCCTTCACCTTTAGAATGATACGAATGTTGGAAAGGACGGGCAATTGTTTAAACACACTTGCAAGACACGATAAGCAAGCGCTTCATTCTTCAACACCTCCTTGCTTTTCCTGCACTCCTAATATTATGACTTTATTTAAACTTAAAAATGTATAAAATTATTTATAAAATTTGTGTCGTTTACTTAAAACACGTCTGAACACCTCAGAGATCCGGGGGGAAGGCAAAAGGTTAGGGCTTTAATTCTTTGATACACTACGTCTTAGCACCTTTTTATGTCTCTGACGTCAGAATTAATTGGATGGGATTTTTCTTTTTTTTCTGTAAAGTCAGTTTTTCCAGTTTATATTTTTAAAAAATTTTGGAGCCCTGGTTCCGCTCGATCGCTTCTTCAATACGAGCAGTATTAAAGTTGCGTAAGTCCCGCCGCATGCATTTGGAGATCTGTCTGTTCAGTTGCCTGTATGCTATCAAATCTACTGAAGACTGCAGCTTCATATCCCGTCTAACAGCCATGAGATTAAGAGTGTGATCGGAGAGTTTTTGTGTTCTTCTGCGGCGGGTCTTGCAGAACTTAGCTCCAACCGCATGGACAGTTTCCACGAACTTGTCATTCATATCGTCCACTGCATTGCAATCTTCTAGGCACTAAAAACTGTTTCGTATCTCGAGCTGAAAGGTTTCGGGACTCTGGAACAGAGTACGAGGGGGACGGAGCGTTGACTTCATTAGACGTGACCTCTCCAACTTAAGGTTTAGGTTCAGTGTGCCTCTCACCATTCGGTGATCGCTGCCGGTTTTCACCCTCGCGATCACGAGACATCACTGTTGTCGTCTGGTCGTCATAATGAAGTCTATCTCATTTTTTGTCGAACCGTCGGAGCTCGACCAGGTCCACTCCCTGTGGGGCTGCTTCTGGAAGAAAGAGTTCATCATAAAGAGTCCCTCTTTCTTCATGAAGTCGGCCAGCTGCTGGCCCCTTGGGTTTCGTTGCCCTATTCCAAATTTCCCTACTTTCAGTTCACCGTTCTCTCTTGTGCCTAGTTTTGCATTAAAGTCTCCCATTAACACCGTATAGTGGGTTTTGGAGGAATGCATGGCTCTAGAGATATCCTCATACATTTCCTCCACCTCCTCATCGGAGTGTGCCGAGGTTGGTGCGTAAACCTGTATGACCTTCAGCGAATACCGTTTGGTGATTCTGAGTATAAGGTACGCAACCCTCGTCGACACACTCCCAATCTTTACAACGTTGTTAACGAGAGACTTGTGGACGATAAATCCGACACCTCCTTCGGAGAGATGGTCGCCCTCCCAGTTATAGAACAAGTTGCCGGATTCGAGGATTACCGTATCCTCCCCCTTTCCGGACCTCGGATAATCCTATTATATTCCATCGCAACTTTTCTATCTCTTCTTCCAGCTCCAGGAACTTCTCGTCAGTCATCAGGGTGCGTGCGTTATAAGTTGCCAGGTCAAGTCGTCGTAGGTGGTCGAACCTCCACCGGAGATTCTTAGCACCCCCTGCCCCGCCGTTACCATGGTCGCCACCGTAGCCTAATAGCAGGCGGGGAATAGCGGGGCCACCGGGGACTGGGGGCCGTCTCTTTGTTACTCTCATCATTGTGAGGAGGGGTTTCGCCATAGTTTACGCGCTTGGCAAACGGATTTGACACCGCAGTTTTTTTATTGTAATTTTGTTGTTATCAGGAAGATGCTGCTGCCCATCTTCTGTCTGTTTCCCTTTGTCGCCTTTTACGACAACCACGGGAAGATATGGGGTAGTGGATATTCTTAACCGCCACTACACGGCAACAACTTATCGAGAATAATTGTAAATGTCTATGGGCCACAGCATCCACTTACCATCAGGTGAACTATCTGCTCGTTTGACACCCTTATTCTATAAAAAAAAAACACTCAGCTAAGGTAGAATATGTAGAACTAATTACACTTATACACCATTGTACAATCATATTCTTGCTAACAAAAATATAAGAAATAAAGATTATTATTATAATTATTATTAAAATAACTGTTCAAATTGTTTGCCAACGTACCAAGCCGGAAAAGTAAAGTATAATTAAACCGGTACTTAACGGTGTAATCGAGATTTGAATCCGAACAAGGGAATCGATATAACTGCATCTTGCAACTTCAATAGCTTTTTTGAATACCTATTTCGATAAAACTTGATCAGAACGTTAAAGCTACTTTTATTATTTTCAATATAACTAATGATAGAGGATTGATGCTCTTTTGCACCTTGCACCCTCATCTTTTTCACGTATCAAGGTATTCCAGGCTGTACGAAATAGCTGTTCTGAGTCACACATTTCCAATAGTCGACTCTTATGACATCGGCAAGAAGAGATATTTTGATAAATCCTTTGTTTTTGACTTCACAACACGGCATAAAATTATAGAGGTGTAATAATTAAGGCGTAGATAATAATAATTTACCGTGAGTTGGTTAGTTCAACTTAACTCATCTTGAGGCGTTCAATTGGCACAGTAGGTACTAGTGGTACTAGGTTAACATGAACACTGAAGAGGTTATATAGGCCTTAATTTTTGTAAAATTTTGTTTTCAAGGAAATCAAGTAGAGATGACTATGACAATTATAAATGCAACTACCATTTGTACATATTTATAAGCATATTCATTAGATCTTTGAAACTTTGAGACAACGCTCCAACAAAGTAACATTTAAAAAGTATGTTAAAGAACATTATATATATATATATATATATATATATATATATATATATATATATATATATATATATATATATATGTATGTATGGTATATGTATTTTTTTTTACCTTTATGTTTATATGCTATAATTTCTAAATTCATTATATTTCTTATTCTTTACTGTTATGTATTATAATAACCGCCTTCGATGTTTTTCCACTCCTCAAGGTTGACAGGCAGAGAATGCTTTAAGCATTATGTCCGCCTTTTGTACTTATATATTTTATAAGGTTCAAAAAAGTTAAATAAATAAATAAATCTTTAATGTAAAAAATCAATTTCAATTGTTTTCATTTTAGGATTGACTCAGGAACGCTTAGCACTAATTATAAATTAGCAAGGTTAGGAGTTACACGTTAGCGAAAACAGCATCAACATAATAAAATAATCAAAACAGGCTTTGCGGTCGTCGCATCGTGCTTGGTGGAAAGTCTGCAGAGCCTGTAAAACCATCACCATTGCAACCGCCGAGGCAGTAAGCGTCGCACGCGCGCCCGGCAACAAACAGTTGTCGAAGATTTGAAAAAAACATATTTAAATTTAGTATAATTAGAAAAGTGTGTCTAAGAATTTTAAAATTTAATGCTAGTGTAAAAATAAATAATGGAGAAATTTCAAGTTTTATTCCTCGTTCTCGCCGCTTTGATAACATCGGGCACGTCAAACACAGGCAAGTAACTACTACTATATTTAGAAGAAAGTAGACGGACAAGTGCGAAGACTATTTGTGTCAAATTTATCGTATGTTAACAACCTTTTATATTGATCCACTTTTCGGGAGCCGTTATTTTCAAATTAAAATAAGCCTGTTTGTGTTACTTTCGCATACTAAGCGTTGGACTTCAAACGGAGTGTACAATAAATACAAGCGAAATAAACGTATATGTAGATAAGTAATTTTTTAATATAACAGATATGCAATAATGTAATTGTAAAAAAAATCTTATCCATACTTTACTCTTTCATTCGTTACTAGAAATCATTATTTGCGTATTGTAAAGTTTTTAAACTTCTGCTTTCCTAAAAAGGAAATAATTAGGTAGATAAATTAAAAAATAATTTTAAACAGATAGATATTCTATTTTTATTATTTTGACATTAAATCAGAACATTCTTTAACTAAAAGCAAACTAAAAGTTATTGAAAAAATCATAAAAAATTACACGTCAATTTTCTTGTTTCAATTAATTTTATATATATAATTTTTTTAAGGACAAGAAGTATATAACAATATAATAACATAGCGGTTATATCTTTTTGTTTTTCTGTTTTTTAAGTGCGATTAATTTATATACAGGTGCTGTTAAGGACCATAGAGCTGGGCAGTTTTAATAATTTTAGAAAATTTCTAGTTTTTAAAATTATTAATTTATAGAAATACCAAACAAAGGAACATGACACTGGTAGAAGATATAGCACATATCGCAAAAAATATTTAGGTACTCTAGTTTCATTGTACAGAGCGAAAACCAAAAAATAAATTTGTATAGACCGCACGGATATCCTTTATGGCGGAAAAAAACTGTTCCTCCGTGAAATGACAAAATAGCCATCTTATAAGTAGGTATGTTGAGGATTACATTGTAGAGCCTGTTGCAGTATTATGGCAGCAATACGAATTGTCCGACTGGATCTGGAAACGACCACACTCTCGTAGAATACTAGCGTAAGAACCGGAGATACTTTTATTAAGGAAACCTTGTTGGGCAGGCAGTTGACCGGGACTCATCTATCTTCTCATTTTTTATCAAGAATACTGCATACTGCTGCAGCTATGTCAGTAGTATAGTTGTAGCGTGAATGGCTCGGCTCGAACGGGTAAGGACCACGGTCTCACAGAATACCAGCGTAAAATATCAGCTTATTGCAACTACGAATAGTTGAGGAAGGATGTAAATGTCTATGTGCCACAGCAACTACTTACCTTCAGGTGGACTGAGTGCTCGTTGGTCACCTTTATCCTATAAAAAAAAAGAAAACTTTAATTTATTGGTGCAATTGCATAAAAATGTAAAGTTAAAGTTGCTGACTATTTACGTCCCACTGCTGGGCTCAGGCCTCGTCTCATTTCTGAGAAGGTTTTAGGGCAAGGAAATGTCTGCCGCGCTACCCCAATGCGTGTTGACGAACTTCACATGTCTTTGAAATAGATTTTTTACTTATTTCTCAGACATGCAGGTTTCCTCACGATGTTTTCCTTCGCCGCGGAGCACGTGGTAAATCAGCACTTAAAATTGAAATTAACAATTTCATTGGTACCGGCGGCGAGCGCTAACCATCTGAGACACCACATTTCGAAGTATAATTTAAAGAAATGAGCCGATACTCAGATCAGACTTATGCATGTGATTAATTTTTGAAGATTATACAAGAACCAAGACAAGCATTAGGTAAACTGTTGTGCTCTTTTATCACCCTTTATCATCATCATCATCATTACAACCTATCGAAGTTTACGCTGAACCGAGCATCCCCAAAGATTGATCTGCTGTTTTAGGTTGCCTATGCCACTACACGGTGTTTGTCACATTGACTAGTATGAAAATGTTCCAACAACTTTCAAATATGTTCGGGAGTACGAGTGCTTAGTGTCCGTATCCGAATGTTACTTTTGCCTTATACGAGTGTTATATAATTTTTTTATTATTATTTTATTTTAAAAAGTGACACGCTAGGTTTTTCACAATAAATTAAATAATTGCACATAGATAAACATTCAAACCCGAAAACATTATTTGTAAGCCATACAAACACAAATTTTCGTGTGGGATTTGAACCCGCGTCCAAGCAGCACCGCAGTCAATTGCTCACCCACTCCGCTACCGAGTTATCAATAAGATGTCTGTACAATAAGAAACAGGATCACAGTTACACCACATCCTGACACCGTTATTATGCACCAATTATGATATCGTATATTTCCACCTTAAAGGACACCTTTCTGAAAAACAACTCAAGGCTTATTAAAATATTAACGATTTTGCCTTCCTTTTATTTAATTTTATAAGTTAGTAAAAAGGAAATAAATTTAAGCCTTTTTAAATGTAGAAGATATGTTAATTTATTATAAAATATAGTATAATTTTAATTTTATTATCTTGTTAACAAACAAATCTAAGCATTTTATACAGGGTTAGCATTTGTTCGCTTTTTTTTTACATTATTTTCACATGACTTCTCTAGTCTAAAGCTGAGGATTAACCTAATAAGCCTCAGCCTGACTCCTGGAGTGCCTTCGACGGAGTGTCTGGCATAACCGCGTGTTTGGCGCCATTGAAAGCATTGTAGTATAATATGGATATAGTGTAAGGGCGTATGTTTGTCGTGCACACCGAACGCCTCGCTCCACCGAACGCTCTCCTTCAAGACTTAACCGTTCCTAGTCTCTCTCTTTATTTTACTTTACTAAGTTTAGTATCTATGTCTATTACCGCAACAATTAATTCATGAAAGTATGGCATAAAACTGCGCATTAAGTTGGTACACTTGCATTTAGCTTCAATTGACATTTATTTTAAAACGGACTTTGAATTTGCTACAATTTTAACTTACTTTCTTGTTATATTATTATATTCCATTAAAGATTCCCTTTATCTGACTTCAAAAAAAGGAGGAGGTACACAATTCGACTGTTTTTTATGTGTTACCTGAACTTTTTCTGAATGAACCGATTTTGATGATTCTTTTTTTATTTGAAAGCTGGTGATCCTCGTGTGGTCCCATATCAAAATGATCAAAATCTGACCAGTAGTTTTTGAGTTATCCTTAATAATGCGTATTTAATTGACTTCGACTACATTGATGTTCTCTTTTTATTTATATCGAATTTTTTATTTTACCACTTCTTTAACTCTTCAATAGTTGCTGGAAATGGCAAAGTCCACAAGACACTTGTATGCACGCTCGTTTTGAGCAGCACGATTTTTGTCACTTTATGACGCGATGAAAATTCTGTTTGGATTATTTTTGACAACTCAATTTATTTTATTTTCCCGCTCCATTGCGTCACTTTACATATGAATGGGTGTTTATGTATGCACTTTTAGCTATCGATGATACATATTCATTGCTGTTAGATTCATGATACTGAATACGACCGAAATACAAACGCCAATTTGGCCAATATTACGCGATCTTTGATATGCAAAAAAAGACCGCCTCCAAGCTATCATATAACGTCTAAAAGCATTATGAATGTCATTACAAAATTAGCGCATTAAATCGTGGATACATTTATGTCTAATGTTCATTACTGCAATAATTCCTTTAAACCTTTTAATAAGAATTACTTGTAATTAACATTGAATAAAAAAATATTCTATTCTATTCTTATTTCGTTATAACCTGTAAATGTTTTAAAAGTTGATATTGGAATTCGTCTTAGAACCCTTATAGATAATCAAAGAGAAAATATAAAAATGTAATAATGAATTATATTTTACCTTTATGAAATTGATTCGCGGAAGCTCACACGACGCGTACTCAAATTTTTTACACTTTCTTCTGCAGCTCTCATTTACCTCGTAAAAGTTCCACGTCAGTTTGTTATTTGTAATCACAAATTGAGCCAAGCTTGAACGCGTTTTCTAGAAAAAATACTAATAAACATGATTTTTTTTTATAAAAATAAGTACATACCAACTTATAATAATTTTAGTTTCAGTTAAATTTTACTATAATATTGAAATGAAATGAATAATGAAATGAAAATTATATTTATTTCTTCACCACAAAAGTATATAGATAGGTCTACTAACAAAACTTAAGAAAATATGAAATATTGTAATATATTTTTGCGGCGGACTGAAGCCTAAACTATCTAGGTACTTGCTACATTTTTCTAGTATTATTGTTATGTACCAAGTGATTAACAACGGCATTATTTTTTAATTTTTTTATAAGGGTGGTAAGCGAGCACACGGTCCACCTGATGGTAAGTGGCTGCTGTAGCACATAGACATCTACATCTATCCTCGTTTGCGAATTAAAATGCAGATGGTTTGTCAGCAGTGAGGACTAAAATGGAATGTCTGTTTTCCAGTAAAAAGGGTCTCCGGTTCTCTACACTCTCCATACGAAACACAGCAGCGTTAAGCTGCTACTTTACGCTGGTATTTCACCGGTCGAGCCGACCCGTTCGTGCTACAACTATACAATTAATATAGCTGCAGCATGGATCTACCACGTAAAATTATGTACAATACCCAAGCAGTATGAATAACTAGCGACAGCCCGCGGCTGCGCTCGCGTGGTATTGAAAATTACGGCAATTTTGTTGTACTACATCATTTAGATGCTCCCTAAGGAACTATACTTTTTACAAAAGTTTACCGTACCGTGTGTGCTATTACTGGCTGACCACAGTCTACCCATGTACTTACTACTATTTACATTACTGCGTATACATTGACAAGGCAACTTTAAAGCGAAAAGATAAATCTTCCTTATTCTACTTATTTACTTAATATTTCCTAAGATAATTAATAGAATCAGGCGTTACTTTGCGAAAATCCATTATAAAGAGGTTGTTATAACTCAATTTGCTTAATTCCACGTAAAGAAAGAAAATTATGTGTCAGTTTGAAGGGGACCTCCCTCAATTGCGTGCATTATACCCGTCACCACCAATCCCAGCTGCTGGTGGTGCTGGAATTAATCAAATTCAGTTAT